AAGAAAAATGCTTAGTAGTTAGCAATTAACCTTATGTAAACTATTTTGGCTATTTATTTCCAACATCATTCATTATTAAAGTATTTGCTTTCTTAAACATTCAGGGACCTGTAACATTAACACATGTTCCATGATGAAGGCTTTATTAGAACGAGTAGTAATACTTTAGCATATGTGGGCAGGTTTCAAGGTCATAGGTTAAAGGTCACAGGGGTTATGTTTATAATATGATTATAGACGGATTAATTACAGATTATTTCAACTTACATCAACGCATTGACACTTACGCTAGGTTCCCACTATCGCGATTTGCGCTACGATTGAAATCGTGGCGTTAATCGTGGAGTAATCGTGGTGATCCTATCAGATCTTATCATATATGGTTGATCGTATCGAAATGTATCTGAATGTATCTGAATGTACCAGATAGTGGACACAACCATGACAATCCTAATGTAACGCATCGCAAAACAGCGGGAACCTTGCATTAGAGATTTTTTTCACTAACCTGTTCAGCTACTAGAGTAGCAAGTTCTGGGTTTGCTGTTTTTATTTCATATAACTTCTTAATCAATGGATGACTGAAAGAAAAATATAATACATATTTTAAATTTAATTATTCGTAATATCTCAACTGAACAGACACAGCTAAACCTGAAAGTGTCATTGGAACACTTTGCATGTCAGAATATTCAATTGTTAGTCTGCAATGCTCTGAACTGACAGAAGTGAAATGAAATGAAATGGGGTTTAACGTCCTACTGTTCTGCTCCAATTGGGCTAATGAAGACGGGCATACGTCATACAGTGTGCTATGAGGGAAATTTTGCCCAACTGCCAAGGGATCTTTTACGTGTATGCCAATGTATAAACTGGGTCTCAGTTATTCGTCCCATCCGAACGACTAGACAGCTTTCCTTGTCAAGACTTTCGTCCTGCACCACTGACAAGGGGAAACCACGTGGGAAAATCCATATGAACTTTCTCGGCCAATGCAGGGATCGAAAACACACAGCCTCCAGGTTAGCGAGGTTAGCCATCATGTTTCCTGAATTGATAGACAACTCTAACAGTGCCAATAACTGCAGTAGGGTAATAAGAATCATAATGTAATTAAAAACAGCGAATTTTGTGCTTGTTTGAGACATTTTCTTATTCAGCTGCAATTTGATCAAAACACAGATCCTTGTCTTTACTACACTAGGATCTGGAAGAGTTGTTGTGTAAGGGATTAGCTAATGAAACGGTCTGTTACGGCAAGTTTTTGGTGCGAGTTGCACAGAACTGTGGGTAAGCCACTAGAAACATGAACGCTGATTGGTTAATAAAATGTCTGTCGTCATAGTGTCAAAAGCTGCTTGTATGACCACTGAGGCGTCCTTCCATTAGAACTGGTCAAATCTTCATGTAGTAGAAGCCATCAAAAATATAAAGAAATGAAACGAAATATAGATCTGTATTTTAATCAGATAGATTCAGCTGGTAGCCCCAAATCCTTTTATTCGTCATCTTTAATAGAAGGCTTGATCTTGCTTTAACTACGTACATCTTATCAAGGCCTTCACGTAATACCCTGCATATTGCGGCACTAATTTCGATTGGGTACAAGCCCAACTTATAAGCCTATCAGATTCCTCGATCGTCGCGAATACCAAGTCTCGCGCTTTCAAGCTAAAATATCTACCTGTGATAATCGAGTTGCAAAGTTCAAGGTTCATTCAATGTCAAGGTTTCTGTGAAGGTCGCGATCTCACAACCTATGATTGGACGCTACTGCTCACGTGTCTGTAGATAGCATAGCTATAAGTTCGGGAATTGTGAAGTAAACAAGCAATGGCCAGATGTTGTGAAACTCGCAGTCATTGCTTCAGGAACATGCTTATTCGTTGGACTGAGAGAATTATATCCTGGAATGTTCATTCGACAATCCGTTTTATTTGTTTGTTTTTTTATACCCTGATTTTCACTTAGTCATTGCTATCTATGACATTTTGCCAAGATGATTTGATTGTAAAAGCTTGAATGTACGCAATACCTTGGGTTAATCTCTAAGGTTGGTTGTAATAATCGTGATCGTTCTTCTTGTGATTTATCAGCCAGTGTTGTACGTAGAAAATGACGAGCTGATCCCATTTCCTGTACTGTAATAATACATGGATGATTCACCAATCTTTTCGTTACCTATAAAACAAACGATACCAAACAATCAACAGAGTAACATTCCCTGGGTTAGAATCATAGTGCAGGTTTTCAATGCTCCATTCCTGTTTAATATGATCTGTAAAACATCTATTCAACATAGATTATGGGAGATTAGATAAAGAGCTGGCAGTTCTAACTATAATAGTTAAAGACCAGATGATGTAAATGGAATATGCTGAAAATTTCAGTCAAACTGCTTCACTCTATGCTGAGAAAACCTTATTTTAAAATCTTTGTAGCCTCAAATGTCATTGTTACCGCTGTCACGATAAGTACCAAAGTCTTGATTATCCATTTTTGTGTTTAATCATCAACTGACGTTGAAAAGCAGATAGGATTCAAATCCAATGAAATTCGTACACATAAGATGGCATTGAGAGTTGATTTTGGTCTTTTCATGCTAATAAATGTCTAATTAATAATTTATGTAACATTTCAGGCCTAAAGAAAGACGTGTAATAGACAGATTTACCTCTTGCATAATGTATGTTTAAGTGCTGACATAAAGAATTTCACCAAACTTGGCTACAGAATGCTAGAAAAAATATTTACCTTTATTTTATTAACTTTATTAGTTAAAACTGTTAGTAACCAATCAGTGAGACTATCGGCTTCAGTCTGTACTAAACTTTCTTTATCTACATAAAAAAACAAAAAACAATTTCAGTTTAAATTTTAACACCAATAATTCAGAGATGTTTATTTAACATTTCCCCATTATACTGATAAGGTTGCGTGGATAGGAGCTCAGTGGCCTCCCATCAAATACATTAACAATTTCCATATTAAAAGTGTGAAATGAAATGGGGATTTACGCCCTACTGTTCTGCTCCGACTGGGCTAATGAAGACGGGCATATACCATACAGTGTGCTATGAGGGAAATTTTGCCCGGCAAGTGGCACTATGGCCTACTCTTATATCAAATTACAACTGCCAAGGGATATTTTATGTGCATGCCAATGTATACAAGGGTCCTTGGTTTTCCGTCCCATTCAAACGACGAGACAGCTGTCCTTGTCAGGCCCTCCGTCCTGCACGACTGGCAAGGGGAAACCACGCCGGAAAATCCTGATGAACTTTCTCAGCCAATACAGGGATCAAACACGCGACCTCCAGGCTAGCGAGCCAGTGTCTTACCTACTTAGCCACCGTGGCTCCAATTAAAGGTGTGTATTTGGATAGCATGCATGGATTGTTAGTCAATGAAACATCAGGGATTATATGTTGAGCCTCATAATTTGCCACAGATCAATGATTATACATCTTAGTGAATATCTCTTGGTGTGTACATACCTTAAGACATTTATTACTTTCTTCTATAATGGTGTGTACATGCCTTAAGACATTTATTACTTTCTTCTATAATGGTGTGTACATGCCTTAAGACAGTCGAGAGCCTACACATAATTTATTACTTTCTTCTATAATGGTGTGTACATGCCTTAACATTGTAATGTGCAAAGAAAATGGAAACTAGCTGAGTTTTTGATAAATAAATAAGAATCAATTAACATACCATTCAAATCTACGGCATTAGTATCCTCTTTATCATCTGCTAGTTCATTTTCTACCGACCTCATATTTTTCTTATCAAACTGTCCAAGATTCATCAACACTAACTCATCATATGCCTCGTATAAAAATAATACTTCTACATCTTTCTTCCTTAACGCTTCATAATAAGGTGATGTTTCTGCCAGGTGACGACTACAAAAATAAATAATAATCCAGATGGATTTATTAAAAAAAGAGAGAGAAAGGGAGTTTAACGTCCACTCGAGACAAACTAGGTCACTTCAGGACTAACATATGGTTCAATTTTTTTCTATAATTCGCTTGCGCGTAGGGTTTTTTAGCAGTGGAGGGAAACCTGAGGACACAGAGAAAACCCAAGAGGTTGAACAGACGACCCTTACTCCTTGTCATGTACAACCAGGGAATCGAAACCAGGCCAATTGACTCAATGACAGACCATTCGGGCACTCCCCCCCCTTCCCCCCCCCCCCCAGGATTGGCCGATCGTCCCGCTACAAGCAGAAAAAATAACTTATTTCGCTGAGAATTCTAAAAAAAAAGAAAGATGTGTATGAAAATGGTACTCTTACAAAATGTCCAAGTAAAGGTGTTTTAAAATGATTTATTGCTATTTTGATCTTTTGGGTGGATCGATAGTATATTTATAGACCCATTTTTATTAAAATCTCAATTTCGATCAAAATCAATATTTTCACTTGTTTTGTCACTATCTCATTATTAGACTTTGCACATTCCCACTTATTTTGCCAGCATGGGTCACACATTTTCAGCACACTGCTGAAGGGACATAACTCCTATTGTTTATTTAGATTTACAAAATTTATATATATTACCTTGGTGCTGATAAGAAATAAATATTTCTAGCACCTGCTTTCATTCTACTAGCATATTCTTGTAAACTGGTTCTCTCTCCTTCAGGTAAATTTGAGGATTCAAAACGCAACAACTTTGATATTTCTTCCTGGAAAGGAAATATTCACTATTCAATATTAACCATTATAAACCTATAATGGTAAATCTCTTTGATCTCTGGGGTATATTCTTCACGGAATAACTTGCGGTCTGATAGTCGGGGGCGGCTTTGAATACATACAGGGGAATTTATTGTTATTCTGAAAGTTTTTCTTTAAACCTGTTTACAGATTATTCTTCCAGGGTAGGTTGGGATTTTTTTTCTACAATAATTGGTAATATACCCTAGAGGTATTCAATTCACATGCTATAATTAGTCATATACCGTAGTGTACTTCACACTCGTAATCAATTTAATTTTAACATCCTCAATGTTGTTAGGTTTATGTAAGAATGCATTACCCTTTGATCTTGTTCTGTAGTTGTAACAATTCCTTCTCTAAAAAACAAGCCATAATCTTCATAAAACTTCATATATTTCTCATTATCTTTCTTAGCTTGATCAATAAAAAACTTGATAATTCTGTTTGTTAATACTAGTCTTAATTTCCTGAAATATAAATCAATTATTTCATACAGATCAATGTTTAAATCAATCATCATCACAATTTAAAACTAAAAACTGCATTTCAGTTGTTATAACTATCTCTGATGTGCTTGTCAGTTATAATCTACCATACAAGTCATGTGATCTTGAGGAAATCTAGTGCAGATCGATGAGTATGACATGTATACGACAGAGCCGATGTTACATGTGTTTTTTACTATGTACAATATGATGTGATATGTGCAATAAAGAATTTATACATTGCTGTGTATCTATTGAACAGTGCTTAAAACACAGATGTGACGTCATCCCCTGATGTTGGCGTATCATTATTTCAAATAATGGTACGGCCATTGTGCCAAGCGTACATTATTTATACTAGTTGAAATTTTGAACCCGCCTGACTTATTTTATTGCAAAGCCAGCTTAAGACATTGCATAATATATTGAAATGAAAACTCGGGGACTAATGTCCCTAATGTTGTTTCAATATATTACGCAATGTCGCGCTCTCAACCATTAAATAACACTTAAACACTGTTTATTGTAGTATATCAGGTTGAGTATTATTTTGAATTAATAAACAGTCTTTTTTCAGCTTTATTACATCTTTAATGCGACAATACTTTTTAAAGTGAACCATGAAATAAAGATTTATAATAACCTGATTAAAGCACTGTCTTGTAATAATTCTCTACTCAGATTTAATGGTATATCTTCACTATCAACAACACCTATAATAAGAAATATAATAGTCTTAAAGATAAAAATCTTATCACAGTAACAATCTCATTAAAATACAGATCTATATTCCGTTTCACATTTTTATACATAAACATCTGACCAATTGTTGTGGAAGGTCGTGTTGGGGGTCATACGAGTGGCTATTGACCTTATGACATCAGACATTTGATTAACCACAGTTCCGTGCACCACACGCCAAGAGCTAATCCATCACATCAACCAGAACGGAAGTTATATAACAGCTCTTCCAGATCCCAGTGTAGTAAAGACAAGTAAAACGGAATTTTGAACTATAAAAAACGAAACGAAATAGGATCTGTGTTTTAATCAAATTGTACCTATAGCAGAAGTCTTTCATCAATATTATGTTTTATCTAAGAAATATATCCATATCATTCAAACATTACATTTGTAATACATTAAAAAAAATTTAACTGTTGCTTTGATAACAATTCTTTTACTTTCACTTTTAAAAAATCTTACCTTTCACAAAACGTAACCATTTTGGTAAAATTGTGTTTGCATTTGGAGTGATCATAACTTTTCTACTGTATAATGTCACAGAACTCTCTATTTCACGACTTAAATCAAACATGGCTGAAAATAGAGTGTCAATACAATCATAGTACTCACTGTTTTAGTAAATAAATCTATAATTGTATATAATGTTCTGAAAACAAAATATGGACAGAAAGATGGATGGGGAGGCAAGGTGGCTAAGTGGGTAAGATGCTGGCTCGCAAGCCTGGAGGTTGCATGTTCGATTCCTGCACTGGCCAAGAAAGATCATCAGGATTTCCAGACGTGGTTTCCCCTTGTCAGTGGTGCAGGACCGAAAAACAGAGGTCCCATGCATAAATTGGAGTGCATGTTAAAAATCCCTTGGCAGTTGAAATTTGATATAAGAGTAGGCCATAGTGCCCCTGCTCGGGCAAAATTTCCCTCATAGCCCACTGTATGGCATATGCCAATCTTCAATAGCCCAGTTGGAGCAGAACAGTAGGACATTAAACCCCATTTCATTTCATTTCAGAAAGATGGATGGATAGAGTCCCTTTTTATATAGCTCTCTTATTTAATTCAGAGCGGGAGAATAAGCAGATGTTGACAAGGGTTTGCTTGTTATTGAAAATAGCTGAGTAAGACAAATTAAGGCCATTAGCTAGATTTCAAGATGATTTACTAGTACTTACTAGGTTTGTATTCAGGAACATAGAACAAAGCTCGAATATTCAATGGTGCATCTGTTTTATAATGCATGTGATATCTAGGTTTATCATATGCATTGGCGATAAAACGATAAAATTCTTCATGCATATCATCAGTAATATCTTTAGGGTCATTCATCCATAAAGCCTGTTAAAAGTTTAATAATAGCTATAATTATAACCAAAATATAAACTCAATTCTTTGCACATAGATTCTTATTGATGTATTTGATACATTAAACCAACAACAGTTTTATAAAGGGCTATATGTTAGTTAAAATAAGGCAAACAATTTTGAGTAAATTCTTAATTTAAAGTTTGAGAACTCGGAGCCTGGTTGTCATTTAAAATAAAATTGAAAAAGAATTGCAAATGTTACAGGTTTCCCAAGCTTTACTGTGGAAAAAAACATTATGTGTGATATGAATTATGTATATTAAGGCTTCATTATGTGTATATTAAATATTCAGTATGTTTAATATGCATTATGTGTTATATAAATTATGTATATTAAATATTTGTCATATGTATATTAAATATTTATTATGTGTAACATTCATTATGTGTAAAATTCATTATGTATAATATTTATTATGCGTGATATTTATTAGGTGTAATATTCATTACATGTAACATTCATTACATGTAACATTTATTATGTGTAATATTTATTATGTGTAATATTCATTATGTGTAATAATTATTATGTGTTATATTTATTATGTGTAATAATTATTATGTGTAATATTCATTATGTGTAATATTTATTATGTATAATATTTATTATGTGTAATAATTATTATGTGTAATATTTATTATGTGTAATATTTATTATGTGTAATAATTATTATATGTAATATTTATTATGTGTAATATTTATTATGTGTAATAATTATTATGTGTAATATTATTATGTGTAATAATCATTATGTGTTATATTTATTATGTGTAATACTTATTATGTGTGATATTTATTATGTGTAATATTTATTATGTGTAATAATTATTATGTGTAATAATCATTATGTGTAATATTTATTATGTGTTATATTTATTATGTGTAATATTTATTATGTGTAATATTCATTATGTGTAATAATTATTATGTGTTATATTTATTATGTGTAATATTTATTATGTGTTATATTTATTATGTCTAATATTTATTATATGTAATATCCATTATGTGTAATAATCATTATGTGTTATATTTATTATGTGTAATACTTATTATGTGTAATACTTATTATGTGTGATATTTATTATGTGTAATATTTATTATGTGTAATAATTATTATGTGTAATAATTATTATGTGTAATATTTATTATGTGTAATATTTATTATGTGTAATATTTATTATGTGTAATATTTATTATGTGTAATATTTATTATGTGTAATATTTATTATGTGTAATAATTATTATGTGTTATATTTATTATGTGTAATATTTATTATGTGTAATATTTATTATGTGTAATAATTATTATGTGTTATATTTATTTAAATGGAGAATAAAAAGAAAGCTGGACCAGAGCATTTCGACTGTACATTCTAAAACTACCTTGTACTCAATTTAGTGTCTAATTAAATTAAACCTTACAGTCATTTTGATGTTTTTTATTTTGCCGTTATCTTTCAAACCACATGTTTAAGGCACATGCAAAAATGTTTGATTTCCATTCTGCCAATCAAAATGACATTTTGTCCTACTATGTAAATGGATTTAGACAAGTACTTTGTATTTGTTGAATTGAATAATGAAATCAGACTCAACATGACTAAAAGGTAGTTTTAATTTTTACCTGTATAATATTTGCTCGTTTACCATTTAAAAAGATGGGAACACCAACAAAATTACTGTATTTCTTTACAATTCCTAAAATATATAAAGATTAAATTAGTTAATTCTTACCACACTCTATTCTTGTCACAATCATCCAGTTGTCTGTAGGGGTTGGAGACAAGCTTCTGGGTTCGCAATCAATTTGTGTCTGGATAAACATGTCTCTGACATGTGAGCAGTAACATCATCCCTTTGGCGTTTTTTTGGTTGTTTTCCAGAGAGAAAAAGAGAGAGAAATGGGGCTTAACATCCACTTGACACAACTAGGTCATTTCGGGACTAACATATGGTTCAATTTTATTTCAATAATTTTCTTGCGCTTAGGGGTCTTTAGCAGAGTGAGGAAATTGGAGGACCCCGAGAAAACCCACAAGGTTGGACAGAATCGAAACCACGCCAGTTGACTCAATGACAGACATTATGATACAGCGCGCATCCAACCCACCAAAAGATACGAATAGACCGTTAGTTATGTTCTGTATATAAAATCAGATATCTCATACCTTGAATGATATCTTCTTTTGAAAAGTCATAACAATCTCCTTTCAGATGTACCACAATCTTTGTACCTCTTTTAACACCTTCAGCTTCACTAATTTCATATGTTCCTGACCTATAAAACATATTATTATCATGTCACTAATTATTATCATATTATTATCATGTCACTAATTTCATACGTTCCTGACCTATAAAACATATTATTAACATGTCACTAATTATTATCATATTATTATCATGTCACTAATTTCATATGTTCCTGACCTATAAAACATATTATTAACATGTCACTAATTATTATCATATTATTATCATGTCACTAATTTCATACGTTCCTGACCTATAAAACATATTATTAACATGTCACTAATTATTATCATATTATTATCATGTCACTAATTTCATACGTTCCTGACCTATAAAACATATTATTATCATGTCAATAATCAAACGTAATGAAATTCAAAATGTTGGGAACCGTCTTGCTTGGTCTCTAGACTGTCCAATCTGATTCAAATACAGATCAATACAAGCTGCCTTTGACCCTATCATATTTGGTTAACCAATCAGGGATGGTGTTTCTAGTGGGTTAACCACAGTTCTATGCACCTCACGCCAAAAAGTTGCCGTAACAGACCGTTTCATTGGCTAATCCCTCACATCATCCAGAACGCGGGTTATATAACAACTCTTCCAGATACTAGTGTAGTAAAGACAAGTAAAACAAAATTTTGAACTATAAAAAACAAAACAAAACAGGATCTGTATTTAATCAGATTGTAGACTGTCCGCAAGGAATCACTGATGATTGACCAATGACATTTATATTTGAGTTAATTAAAAAAAAGTCAACAGTAAGGCTGATGTTTCCAGCCGCAATCCCAAAAGAAAAAGATGGTATCAATTAATTAATTGCACATTTATGTTTTAGAATAGTATCCAGAAATCAGAAATCATACTGCTTATCTCTGGTTAGTCAAGGTATTGATGTAATGAAACTATACTTAGATTACTCAAAAACTTACTTCACATTCTTTCCCAAGCATTTTGCCCTGTTATTTTAAGTTTTTATTGTAATATTTGGAGAGAGAGAGAGAGAGAGAGAGAGAGAGAGATGGGGTTTAACGTCCTATCGACACAAGCTAGGTCATTTCGGGACTAACACATGGTTCAATTTTATTTCAATAATTCGGTTGCGCGCAGGGGACCCGGAGAAAACCCATGAGGTTGGACAGGCGACCCTACTCCTTGTCATGTACAACCGAGGAATTGAAACCACGCCAGTTGACTCCATGACAGACCTTATGACACGGCACGCACGCGCTAACCATTGGGCCATCCAACCCCCCTGTAATATTTGTATAACTTACCCATCTGATGCCCATCTATAAGCTGGTTCATCAGGTTTATAACTTTGTGTAAATACTTCCACTTTATCACCTACCATAAACGCTGAATAAAACCCAACACCAAATTGTCCAATCAAAGTACTTGATACATTGCCTGGTGAATTACCTTTCAGCTGTTCTAAGAAAGCCTTCAATTGAAACAAAAAATAAAAATTGAGATTATAATAAAATAGGAGTCTGCTCAAAACCATTATTAATACTAATACTGATTTGTATTCAGTTATATGTTAGCAAACGAAATCTCTTGTATCTAAACTGACATTCATTGGTAGAGTTGTCCCCCTTTAAATAAGACTATTTAAATCAAATGTGTCTGCCAAACAACATAATGAATCAAGCTACCTTCATATTCTACTTGTCGACAAATTTAACAATAAAAAGTAAATATTGAAAAAAATAGTTTTTAAAATTAAAAACATACATTTCTGTCATTTCAATAATGTTAAAAAGTATGAATACCTTTGAGCCTGACTTGGCAATAGTTCCTAGGTTTTCTATAAGTTCTTCTTTTGTTAGTCCAAGACCCGTATCCTGTAAACCAACAAATATCATTCATAACACATTCACTTATAACTCTATTATAATTAAAACCTCTTTAAAACCCTTAAATTAGAAAACCCTCATGGGAGGATGGTTACAATGATAATGATGATGATTTGGTCAAAGTGCTAACATTTAAATACAATACAAGAGGGAGTTGAAATGGAAGAGAGTGCTATAGATTAACATAGCTGCTGAGAAAGCAAAAGTTCTAGCCCCAAATCTTTATAAGATTGTAGGACTTGCAGGAGAAATTGATTGTTAAATTTCAGAATATAAGTTTTATACAATGTCCGATATGTTCAAGTCAATCTGTTTGTATATTTTCAACCAATGAATAGATCTGATGAGTGGGGATAGTATTAATTTACTAAGTGGTGAATACACTTGAGCTGGGCGATATCCCTAGAAACAAATATCGCTTTATTTTCTGTAAATATCGCGATATAATCACTATATCATGATATTTTATAAAATGTCAATAATTTCAGTTTACCACCTTTTAACTGTAAATTAGCATGCATACAAAGTTGGATGTACACCCTAAGTATTCACTTTACTCTTTGTAGTCAATATCATTCAAAAATTAAGCATAAATACCGGTACACTACTATATTCACAAACAAAATTTAAGGAGCAGGTTCAAAAACAGATTACATTGTTGTTGTTTATTACAATTTAAACTTCCAAAACATTAATTATTACAATTTGAACTTCCAATACATTAATTACGATATTTGATTTAAACACAAAATCCAAATCAAATTGTTATTCAGAGCTAAGTAAATCATAAGTGAACATAAATAACATGTTACAGAAAACGGACCCATGTAACTGTTTACAGAATACCAAATTGATTTCACACTGCTTTTTAACACTTTCAATGTCTGTGTTTTTCTTTTGTTCACTTCTAGTAAACTGTTATGTGTTGTAGGGCTGAATGATATTTGAAATTTCCATTATTTTAATTTAAAAGATATAAAAATCCACAATATATTGCCATTATTGAATTATTATAGTGATTCAAGCAATAAAAATTGAAAGGGGAGGTGAATTCCTCAAATAACATTCTATCTTGTTTCCAATCTGATTAAAATACAGATCTATATTTCATTTCGTTTTTTATACTTTCAATGGCCTCTACTACATGAAGATATGACCAGTTGTAGTGGGTGGTCGCGTCAGGGGTCATACGAGCGGCTTTTAACCCCATGACATTTATTAACCAATCAGCATTGATGTTTCTAGTAGGATACCCACAGTTCCGTGCATCACACGGCAATATCTCGCTGCAACAGACTGTTTTATTGGCCAGTAAATTGAACTATAAAAAACAAAACAATGTTGTAATCAGATTGTCTTGTTTCTGGGTAAAATAAACACAGACATGTTCCTTTTAATTCCATGTACACCAATACTGAAACATATCAAATTCACCAAATTTGACAATGTCCCTTTAAGGGTACATTGAATACAGAATATGTACTGTTTTAAGGTAGATTCTTATGAGAAGCACAGAAATTTTAATTAATGTAATGGCCCCATCACACTTATTCGGAATCAGCAAGAAGAACTAGTCTGAGTGAAGAATTCTCAAATTTCGTGCCACATTCAGGAGGGAATTTCAAATTGGCTTAAATTCTGACAGCTTTATAAAACTGCTGTTTAAATGCTTAGAATGCTTCGAACCCGTCTGGATGCGCTTCGAACCCGTCTGGAATGATTCTTGCACATTCCGGGTTTATTAGCTCTCGAATGCAGCTCGAATGTAGTTGGAACATAGTAGGAATATTTAGAATGTACCTCGAATGGCGTACAAGAATTGCCATCAATTCGTTTATTGAAATGATTGTCCAAGCCTAATGCGTGGTGCTGTACTTCTGTCTGTATTAAAAGAGTCTATCTATGTTCACTAGGTAGCCTTGAGGAGACTGTCATTTCTAGCTCAAGAACTATACGATTTATCTTTCTGAACTGATAGAAAATATAAAAATAAATCATTGCAAAGAAGTGTTCCTCTAAATACAGCTGCTCAGGCAAAAAAAACTGATTGGATTTTCATTTAAGTGATTTTATTAGGTAGAAATTCTGACATTAACAATGCATCACTGAATATAATAAATGAGAAAAAACGACAATTAACTTTCACCATTGACGATAATTAAAGCAAATATTTTCTGCACTAACCTGAACTGTAAATGTTTTCTTGGAATCATCAGTTTTAATGTGAATTTCTAATGGTATGTCGCTGCTTAAAACATCTGCTCCAGTTAATTCTAGATAACGCAACTTCTCCAGGGCATCACTGGCATTAGAGATTAACTCTCGAATAAAAACCTTTAATTAAAGAAATATTATATCAAATCATGAAATGAAATGGGGTTTAACCTCCGACTGGGCATGAGGGAAATTTTGCCCAGGCAGTGGCACTATGGCCTACTCTTATATCAAATTCCAACTGCCAAGGTATCTTTTACATGTACGTCAATGTGTACACGGGACCTCAGTTAATTGTCCCATCCGAACGACTAGACCGCTGTCCTTGCCAGGCCCTCTGTCCTGCATCACTGACAAGGGGGAACCACGCCGGAAAATCTGGATGAACTTTCTCGGCCAAAGTAGGGATCGAACACCCGATCTCCAGGCTAGCGAGCCAGCGTCTTTACCCACTTAGCCACCATGACCCCCGTTGACTCAATGACAGACCTTATGATACAATGCGCACGCGCTTACCATTTGCCCATCCAACCCTCCTTTTTTTCATAGAAGCAAATACTTGAAATAGGCTATATCATCATATTTTAGCATCGATTTACATACTTATAACCAGTTTTATATATAATATGGTGTACCACTAACAGTCCTTCATCCAAGTCTTGTCTCTTTAACAATTTGTTAATGATAGCAAGGCACAACATATAGATAAATTTAACAACAGCTCTTTTAAGTTTAACATTTATGGTTACTGTTGGTCCATATATAATGCCATAAATACAGCCCTAATCAGCTAATATTTTATTTTCAAACAAAGCTGCACTAATTAATTATTTTACTGCCAACTTTTGGAAGAGGTTCACGCTCACGGTAATATTATGAAATCACATTTACAGGGTAAGTAGATATCTTCCTCAAACTATTTTCTTATTCTAATGTACACATCTACTGGAAGACAAAAATTCTTGTACAACTCACGGAATATAGAGATAACTGGTAAATAATTTCACCATATTCGTTTCAGTCTATTTTGTTAGTACAACTATTGAATTATTTTGAAACAATTTGATTAAAATACAGATCTATATTTCGTTTCGTTTTTTTATACTTTGACCAGTTGTAGTGGAAGGTCGCGTCTAGCGGCTTTTGACCCTATGACGTCAGACATTGATCAATTAATCAGCGTTGACATTTCTAGTAGTTTACCCACAGTTCCGTGCACCTCATGTCAAAAACTCGCCGTAATAGACCGTATCATTGGCTAATCCCTCACATCATCCAGAACGTGGGCTATATAAGAGTAGTTAAGACAAGTACGTTAAACGAAATTTTGAACTATAAAAAACAAAACGAAATAGGATCTGTGTTTTAATCAGGATTATTTTGTATTCAGAAATAAATGGTGTTTTATAATTAATAATCATTATTATTATTATAACATTCTGCAATAAACAAAATTATACGAGTACCTCTTTTTCTGAGTAAAGAGATTTAGCTACAATATCCAGTAATTGTCGTGTTTCAGCTTGAAATTCATGTGCATCAGATGGCCCTATAAAATACAAATTTATATAGTTCAGTTTTATAAATCTAGCATACAAATTATATTTGGCTTACCATCACTTACCTTAAACTGGACATGTTATGTATTCAGTTTGATTTGCAAAATGTGCGGATACTACTAATAATAATTTGTCTGAGCAACATAACCCTTGATGTGAAGACTTTTTCATACATGCTCTATTTTCAAGATTCTGGACTTTCAGAGAGAGAGAGGGGGGGAGGAATGGGGTTTAACATCCACTCGACAAAAACTAGGCCATTTTGAGACTAACATATGGTTCAATTTTATTTCAATAATTCACTTCTGCACAACTCAATGACAGACCTTCTGATACAAATGAAATGAAATGGGGTTTAACGTCCTACTGTTCTGCTCAGAACTGGGCTAATGAAGACGGGCATACGCCATACAGTGTGCTATGAGGGAAATTTTGCTCGGACAGCGGCCTACTCTTATATCGAATTCCAACTGTCAAGGGATCTTTTACGTGCATGCCAATGTGTACACGGGACAGCTGTCTTTGTCAGGCCCTCCGTCCTGCATCACTGACAAAGGGGAACCACACCAGGAAATCTGGATGAACTTTCTCGGCCAATGCAGGGATCAAACACCCACCTTCAGGCTAGCCCTTCTGATACAACGTGCACACATTAACCATTATGTTGATAACTTTAGTGGGCAGTCACAAACCGCTTCCCATCCAGGACATCATGTTATAGACTAATAAAAAGCTTGTCAAGTGTGTACAGAAGAAAAAAAAAGTTGAACAAATGCCATACCGATGTACAGTGGTGACTACAAAAAAGAGCCATAGAAAATGTTTTAGCATAAAAACAACTATAAGAATTAATAATCAAGACATCACGTAATAAGACTAATAAAAAATAAGCTTGTCAAGTGTGTGCAGAAGAAAAAAAAAGTTGAACAAATGCCATACCGATGTACAGTGGTGACTACAATATAGAGCCATAGAAAATGTTTTAGCATAAAAACAACTATAAGAATTAATAATCAAATCTTAATAACCCATCTTGTGTCTTAACAGATTTCTAATCTACTGTTTCCTAGGATACATCTGAGAACCTTCTCTTAACATAAAATCTTTTTGCCTGATGTGCAGTGAATAAAATGTCATAAATATTGCAAACAAATCAGCAGACCCTTTTAGTAGACACTTGACGAAGATTACAAACAGTCATAAAATCTTCCAATACATGTTGAAAACTGTGTGGAGATTGTGGTATTATGTGGTTAATGTAGGAGACATGATAGAAAATGTTGTTATTTAATATCAAATGATAGTTAACTGTCATCAAAACAATAATTTAGCCTTTTTAAACAAGTAAAAATTTTATGTTGGTAGAAGAATGACATTTAGCTAGCCAAACAGGAAATTTATTAATCTAAATTTAGAGAATAACTCGGGCCGAGGAATGAATCTGATCAGAAATTCTGCATGTACTGGCAGAAAAATGCAATAAATATCGGAGAGAAAATTTCCTGCCAGATTTGATTAAATTGTTTTTCTCTTGAATGCACTTTGGTTGATAGAAGTAAACCCACTCCCATATTTCAATAGATATGAGGCTATAAATCTCGCGTACTGCTCATGCTCACGACAACAAGATCCTTGCATAAGCCACGAATAACTTATTGGATTCTGTCGGTCCATGATCAATTCCGTTCAACATCTTTAATTCTTTTCTGTCTTCTACCAAATATGATCCTGATAAGACAAAATTACCTTCTAAAATTTCATCTTGGTATCTGTTTCGATGGTCTATGGAGAATTCTTTAAATGATGAGGAATTATGATTATGGTTTTTCTTGCTGAATTTGATTAACGGTCCTATCTTCTGCTAATATTGTATGCCTTATTCATAATTCTTCCATTTGGAGAGTAATCAACTGATTGTGGTCCGCAGGGACATAAAATCTTTCTACGACTGACTCAATCAACCATTAACGTTAATGATTAGCATGCCTGTAACATGCCGACTGACAGTCCTTGTCCACTTTTTTTATTATTAATCTTAGTCGTCCAATATTTGTTTTATGATGGTGTAATGGCTGGTAGAAGCTAGTAAAAAACAATTACGGTTTTACATTTGCAACACCAGAGATATCTCAATCTATGCGTGGTTGTAATAGTGAATACCATCTTATTGTTTTAATGACTTTTCAAAACATGATTAAATATTTAAATGGGCATTATGGGAGATTAGATAAATAGCTGGCAGTTCACACTATAATAGTTAAAAACTAGATAATGTTAAGAGAATATACTGAAAATTTCAGTCAAATTGCTCCACTCTGAACCGAGATATTAGCTTTTGAATTTTAGGCCTAGCCTCGATCGACATTACTAAAGTCGGTATGATAAAAAACATAGTTTTGATTATCCATTTTTGGATTTAATCATTAATGAGCGTTGAGCAGCAGATCAGATTCAAATCCAGTAAATATCGCAGGCTATCGATGACATTGAGAGTTAATTACGGTCTGTAATCTTCCACTGTGAAGTAAGAGACAAAAAAGGTCTTACACTTTCACTGAAATATGAGAAGCAAAGTGTCAATTCTCTCACGTGCTACACTTTCACTGTAAAGTAGAAAGGAAGAAAAAAAGTGTCATTTTCCCAGGGAGAGGCAAAAAAAAAAGACTCTCCCAACAAAACTGGCTCAATTGTATGCTTTCTCATCCAGTCTGATTCTATAGAACAAGTAATTCATTTAATTCTGATGTTTTTCACATAGAGAAGAAATCAAAAGATAATGATTAATATTTGGTGAAGTGTATGTCCTCCATAGAATACAAATCTGACACGATCAGTCAAACAATTTCTATCAAATGAAATAATTGTCTTCTAATTAAATTTTCGTCATAATTTTTAGGACGAAAGAAATGAAACAAAATATTGACCAAGCCCATTATTCTGTTTGTGTTTGATCGCAATCAATGGAGAATTCTCTTGACTTTCAACCAAAATAAGAAGATGTCTGGTGTGTTATTTAAAGAAAAATTGTTGAATATTTAAATGAAATTGCCTTCCATCATGACTTACAATGATGTCTGTAAAATAAAATTGGAAAAGATTTGTTTTAGCCGTCTGCAAGTAAACACACACACATCCCAATTGTAGCAAAAGATTGTAAACTAGCGCTACTAATCAGCGTAATTGCTGATAGAGTCCGTGCAATTTAGAAACATAATCCAATCACCGCCTTCCTAGAATTGATTTGTGCTGGCTTTAGAGCAATCGTCTATTTATCCGCGAAATAAGTAATCTCCACTTGAGGGTCCATTGTGAAGCCATCATTGATCCATTTGAATGACAATCTGATTTTCTCCACGCCAAACAACTTTTTCAAGTTTCTACTTAATGGCCAAATGGTGTATGTGTTAATAGTGTTAAAGTTCTTTACTCTCAAGAATATATTAAATGTTCATCTTCAACCATTTTTGGTGCTTAATGATCTCGGGGGATTCCATTTAATCACAGGGAGGGGAATTTTTTTCCATGATTGATCTAGAATTAAGCAAATGTATAAAGTAACCTTTGGGTATAAATGTAGATGAGGTTATATAAGTAGTTTTAACACCGAGCCCATTAAATTTACCTTTTACAGTTCTTTAAATACTTATCATGAGATACATATCTTTAACTTACACTTAATTTACCAATAAACATCATGATATATCATATAAATTTAATTTTATGACCAGCAATTGATATGTTCCTATTATCTCCCTGCCATCAATGTGTATTGGATTATATTTACGACTAACCTCTTAATTATCTTTCAAAAATCTAGATCTATTCGATGGCACATAAAAAATATAAAGACCTTATATCTGACATGTAAGTATTGAGTTAGAAGTGAAGAAGTAACCGAAGTCCATGTAATTGTCGGCTAGCGGAACTAACACATCTTTTGTTGTGTTGAAAAGTCAGAATATTGACAGAGTTTAAAATACTAAGATGTTTGATCGTATCATTATCTTACGTCTGCTACCAGTTAATGGTTGTAAAATCATCCAACTCATAAGATTTTATCTTTAGAATTTTAATGCAAAATTGTTCTTGTGAATATCTGGCCTCAATTAGTCATTTTGACGAAAATAAAGCTGATATATTATATATAACATCTGAAGACACCCATTAAGGGCAGACAGCTAGCTTATATATAACATCTGAAGACACCCATTAAGGGCAGACAGCTAGCTTACGATTTGATGTACATCAGAATGAAGAAGTGAAAATGGTTCATTTTTTTTAACTGGACCTATTTTTAATGTATTTATACCATAAATATAAATGTACAACGCACTTGTACTTTATCTACTTTAATCTAAATATATTATATGTCTAGTTTTAAAAATAAGACAAAAAAATCCTAACCCATTTTTAAAATTTAAAAATTAAAATAGGAAGAAGATACAGATCCATTTTATCTCCCCGCAGGATGTAAAAATCTTCAGTGACGTACACCAGTGACAGCTTCCATCAGAATTCCATTAGATCGAACAAATATTCATAAAAAAACAAGTTTGATGAAATGAACGACAAGAAACTATTTCCTTATATTGAAAATTCAATCAAGAAACTGTAGAGAAATGAAAGCTTCCATCTTATAAAGAAAATTAAATCAATGTTGCATCAACTTCTGGCAATTAAACTTCTAATTCTTCCTCTTAGCCAACCAATCAATGCTGACCCTTCTCTCCTGCAACTCTTCATTTGGAAAGGTAAATTAACTACATGATTGACATCTAGTTAATGAAACTGATTGCTTTAGAAGAGGCAGTTAAAAAACAAACCTGATTTTACAATGAAGAGACAATTCATGTGTTCGAAAATTCACAAATATATAGCCCACTCTTGCCAAGAAAATAAAATGGTGTTTAAGTCTTACAGTTCTGCACCAACTGGGATACTGATGAGAGAGAGAGAGAGAGAGAGTGAGAGAGAGAGAGTGAGATAGAGAGAGAAATGGGGTTTAACGTCCACTCGACACAAATTAGGTCATTTCGGGACTAACACATGGTTCAATTTTATTTAAATAATTCACTTGCACGTAGGGGTCTTTAGCAGTGGGGGGAAACTGGAGGACCTGGAGAAAACCCACGAGGTTGGACAGGCTACCCTACTCCTAGTCACGTACAACCGGGGAATCGATACTGATGACAGACTAAGAAGATGAAATATTTTCTCCTAAAGGAGCTAAACCTTTTGGAATTATATAAAAGTACATGTATTTATTGAAGAGGACAAATTGTCATCTCAGAAAATAAATCAGAACACCGGTATATAATCCAATAAAAATCCAATGAAAAAAACACTTTTATTTTGAACCCAAATATAGTAAAAGCTGGTGATTGTTATTTTCTGGACAATATGAAAATTTTCAGTTTATTCTACTCAAATTCTACTCAAATTGATTATTGAAAGGGGCATTATAGGAGATTAAAGAGTTGACAGTTCTCACTATAATTGTTAAACCAGCGGCTGCCAGGCAAGATACGCCCACATTTTTGAGAGATGGATAGAGAACAAGCTAACACGAAAGTGATTTTTCCTACAATCAAGGGCCATAATTCAGGAAATTACAATTCGATATGCGCAAATATCGAAAGGAACCGAGATCTTTGGGTTATAAACTTACATTTCAAGTTTAAACCAAATCGGATAAAAATTGTGACCTCTACAGTGTTCACAAGCTAAAAACGTGATTTTTCGTACAATCAGGGACCATAATTCAGGAAGTTACGGTCCGATATGCGCGAATATCGAAAGGAGCCGAGATCTTAGGGTGATAAACCTATATTTCAAGTTTCATTGAAATCGGATAAAAATTGTGACCTGTAGACTGTTCACAAACAATTGTGGACAGACGTCTGGACAGACGACAATATACGTCCACATGAAAATGTGGGCGTATAAAAATATGTCAACAGTAAATAATCTTGAATTCAGTGGGATAACCAGCGACCTATCAACAGATTCTAGCCAAGACTATAGGTCAATCTGGAAGGTTATATTGGTAATAGACAAAAGAATCTTAAACCGAATTATATGTCAATGTTTCAATATTCGATTCCATTCAATTCAAATGATGAATTTCTTCACCCTTTTTGGTGCATTTCAGATTTCTAGACAATATGGATCTTTCAAATCAATATATGTTCCAATGTAATTTTTTTTTTCATTGATAGTTGACTGCATATTAAGTATTCCCTTTAGGACAAGTTCAATTCAATGACCATCAGTTTCAATTACTTTTTATACACAGTGAATAACAAATACCCCACAAATTATGTGGTTATTTCGTTACATGGTTTTGTTAGAGAATTTTTTTTTACAAAAATAAATGTCTATTCTTCATTCAATTCCTAATTCGATGTGAAACGTGGAATTTTTCAGCCATGTTGGTTTCATCACATTCTTACTGCCATTACCAGTACCAAGTTAGGGCACAGCCACCTAGACTTTCATTCAAGTTAAACAAGAATCATTATTTTCAACAAGGAAGCGAAAGTAATTAATCTATCCAATATGTTCAAAATAACTGTTGATGAGCCTAACTAGTGAAACTCAAAGGATTGGCCTACTTAGAGCAAAAGCATTCCTCCCACAAGTGTCCAACAAACTTCTTGAAAACCACTGACGATTATAATGTGTACGAATCGTAATGGATCTTAAATTGTCTACATCTTAGAGATGGATTGCCAGATTTGTTTCAGATTTTATTTTGCCCACAATCTAATTTGAACATGTCCAATGTAACTCTATAGTCATATCGAAGCAACTAAAAAATAAGGAGCAAAAATCCCCTAAGCCTCTTAAACATTTGTGGGTGTTTTATTCAGTTAAATATGGTAAAATGAATGCTCTTCATTTGTGGGTGACTTATTTAGTTAGATATGGTAAAATGTATGTTATTTAGACCAATTAGTTTTTGGACACAAGTAAGTTTTTGTTACAATGTTTGAACTACAGAATATAAAGTAGATAAAATTACACCAGTAATTGTACAATTTTTGACTGCTTTTAACACCGGTTTCAAAATTTTGATTTGTTAAAAGGGAGACTTTATCCTATCAAAATGTATAAAATCTTCATTAGAGAATGTCAGGACTATCAATAAAATCGGATTGAAATAAAAACATTAAATAAAAAAAAACATCCATAGAGAAATGCAAGCAAAGAAAATTGAATATTGCTTGAAAAACACATAAAAGAAACATGCCGAGAAAAAAATGGACGCAATCAAATTTAATCCTCTTGGGTACAGGACTATTGATTCAATTCATTTCTAGCCAAGGTAATTTACCATTGGCTTTATTTTCCTCTATCTCATCAATTGAGGAAGTGCTCAGAACTTCTTCAACACGATAGCTTCATTAAGAAAATTAAAACAGCCCACATTTTCACAAAGCGTATAAAAAGATATTTCCAAAGGCAAAATTTGAAAATCTCTTAAAATGAAATCCTTAATAGTTTTATCCCTTACAAAAACATTTTGTGTAACACATGCTACTTGGATGTAATGGCTATATCAATTTTTACGCCACACCAAATATAATAAATTTGATTCTCAAGAGAATGTTATTGACAGATCAAATAAAGTTATACTCCATAGCAATAAATATCACCATTTCTTCATTCCAATGTGTCAATTTAGGCAGCAATTCATCAGTATCTAATCAGGGTGGGCTTTTTTTTTGTTGGAAACTGAAACCATGTTAGATAAATGTTTATTTCATGGGTAAGTGTTGAAATAACACTGCGAAAAATACCTCATCAAAATAACAAAAATAAAATCCACCCCTTTTAAAAAACTCTCAGCATTTTCTTGTAATATTTGAAAGAAGTTTCAAGTAGTGTTAGATCTCCTAATTAACTATCTTAAATGGACAAAATAACGAATAAAAATATTTTCACAAGTTGCCAGTTAATTTGATGTTGAATCAATAAGTGACGCAATTTGTGACTCTCGATAGAGAAATAAGATTTCTAAAGTCCATTAAATCTAATGATTATGCTTTCAACAGCCATTTAGATACACACATGTCCACTCGAATGGTGGAGAATGTTTTCACAAATATGCCATGAAGTTTTATGGAGGAGAATCATTCAATTAATCTCCTCGTTCAAACTATCTGATTCATCAAGATAAAACAACACTAAGAAACTTGTGAATTGTGGGACGATCCAATTCAGTCGAGTAATTAAAACCAAGGATAACAGAATAATAACAATATAATTGGCAAGCAGTACAAAAAAAAGATGTAATTAAAATTATTTAGTAGAGAAGATAGGAAAAATAGGTTGCCAGGCAATGAAACATACGGCCACAGCAGCTAAATCTTCCAAGCGGTCCACAAGGGTTGTCGCATATTTATTTTTTGTAGGTAATAGGGGCTTTTACAAGACAATTTCATACAAAGGCTTCACAAGGTTCTACAAACTGAAACAAGGGTCTTAACTCTGAAAGTAGTTTACAGAAATTCTTGAAATTCAATAGGCTTCTTTGTTTCACTAATTCAAATAATAGATATAAATTTTATACAGATTGCATAACTTTTGTTGTTGGAGCGTTCACAAGGTTCAACCAAGTAAAACAAGGGCCATAACTCTTGATGTAATTTAGGAAATTGCTGAAATTCACTAGGCTTCTTCATTTCACTAATTTAAATGACTCATATGAATTTCAGACAAATTTGATGTTAACCTTTGTCGTTGGAGCATTCACAAGGTTCAACATAGTGAAACAAGGGCCATAACTCTAGATGTAATAAATGGAAATTGCTGAAATTCACAAGGCTTCTTGATTTCACTAATTTAAATGATGCATATAAATTTCATACAGATTGTTGGAGCGTTCACAAGTTTCAACAAAGAGAAACAAGGGCCATAACTCTAAGACGTAATTAACGGAATTTCATACAGATCGGATGATAACTTTTGTCATTAGAGCTTTCACAAGGTTCAACAAAGTGAAACAAGGGTCATAACTCCATAAGAAATTAATGGAAACTGCTGAAATTCAATAGGCTTCCTCATTTTCCAAGTTAAACAACACATATAAATTTGATACAGATCGGATGATGAATATAATCTGTAGAGTATTCACAAGAAATTGTGGACGACGGACGGGCAGAGGCAACGGCAAAATATGACCAGATTTCCATGTGGGTGTATAAAAAAGGGCACAAAATTTCGAGAAGATTAAAATGACCAGACCTCTTTGATTTGAACCAAATATAAAATTGTCAATTTCATTGGATTTTACTTGTTGATTTGTTTTCTGCAATTGAAAGTTGTACATCTATTGATAAACCAATGTTGCCAGGCAAAAAAACCTACACCCACCAGCATAGATCTTGAGGCCCTAAGCTTCAGTCTGTCAAGACAGTAAGTAAATCCGGCACTGTCAAATATCCTACATGGTATACATATTACAAATTCTCGTAGATGTGGGCTTTTAATACTTAGAGCTTTGTACAAAATAAAAACTATCAGATAGTCACCTTTAGGTCTTTCATCATCTTTAATAATAGAATGATATTCCTCTTCTGTTTCTTCTGTAGCTTGTTCATTATTACTTAATCGGCACGTTATACTAAAATCACGTTTTATCGGAACAAAACTACACTCATTTCTCCTTTCTGAAATGACAAAATATAACAGTTTTAAGAAACATGCAAAGATACAAAATATATGTTAGCTAAGTGGTATTTGATGTTCTTACAAGAGTAAGCATACTGCGATCCAAACAACACTCAATACTATTAATAGCTGACATATATCAGATGAGGGCTTATCATTGTAGACCCACCAGGAATAAAATAGTACATGACAGTTTGTAAAATCAGCAATTCCCATTGTCCTGCTTCACTTGAAATGAAATGAAATGGGGTGAAATGGGGTTTAACGTCCTACTGTTCTGCTCCAACTGGGCTTATGAAGACAGGCATACGCCATACTGTGTGCAATGGGGGAAATTTTGCCCGGTCATCTGCACTATGGCCTACTCCTGTATCGAATTCCAACTGCCAAGGGATCTGTTACGTGCATGCCAAGGTATACACGGAACCTCGTTTTTTTGTCCCATCCGAACGGCTAGACAGTTGTCTTTGTCAGGCCTCCCATCCTGCACCACTGACAAGGAGAAACCATGTTGGAAAATCCCGATGAACTTTCTCGGCCAGTGCATGGATCGAACACGCGACCTCTGAGCTAGCGAGCCAGTGTCTTACCCACTTAACCACTGTAGCTCCCCTGATTCACTTTCACAAGCGTAAGTCAGAAGGTAAATGTGGGGCCACAAAACTTAATATTAGGGTCCTTCCATATGACCCAGTGAACAAAACCTGCAAATATATAATAAAATCTGTCAAGAACTCAGACCTGTAGAGTATTCAAAAGAATTGTGGATAGACTGTGGATGCACGTAGATACCCCTAGTTCTTTTCGGAACAGTTTCTGAACAGAAGCAGTACCCTGAATGTTCTTGTCTATTCCTATTAACAAGCTATACGAAATTAATAAACAAAAGACAACAAGCTGCGCACTCAGTCGCATAATGGCAGACCAATTCAAATGTATTCCAAGTGTCAGGAAATGATTCCTTTTGGCGAAAAAAGAAGAATTACAGTGAAAAAAAGAAGAAAAAGACTCCAAAATAGCCATAGAACAGAGAAGGAGGATAGAGCGTTACTCTCATTAATTTCATATAACTTGTTAATAGGAATGGTCAGGAATGGTCAGAGGACTTCCTTCATACTTTTAGAGACCGTTCCATAGGTTTAAAATACCTCCACATATGCAACAGTCCGCATAGTTTTCATTGGATAAGAATCCTAATCTCTTAACCCTCCATGTTATGTGATAAGAGATTGAACTATAGCTCTTTCTGGAAGATACCAATGTGAATCACTTCGGCATTCTCTAAGTGAAACTGTCAATTTTTTCTTCAAAACAAGAAATAATAATTTATTATTGTTATTTATTACATTTGTGGCATACCCAACTACAATTAACCCTATAATCCTACATGACACTGGTACAAATCATCTCTTTTAAATCGAAGCGTAAACTGTCTATGCCAAACATTTTAAAACAGAAGAGGTTTACTTCTTAACATAATGAAGTTGAGGCTAAATATATGTCATGTAGATGTTGGTCAATCTAAATCTTACCGATGTGACAGTGTGAGATGGTTCCTGGTGTGTGATTACCGTTTAGCGCATGCGCAGTTGTAGGAGTCAGCTCACACCATTATCGAAACAGTGTGCATTGACTCCCTGTGATAGGATTTCCCCTTAGAGTTTCTTACGGTCAAATAGGTTTCTACACTATTGTCTACCAATATTAAATTTTACAGTATTACTATATTAGTAGAGGGTGTCGAGTTTCTATAGTTTGTTTATTTCGAAAAAAAGTAGAAATACAAATTGACTAAGGCGCAGATTCACCAATAAAGTGAGCCGTAGCAATTCGCGTTGATGGAAAATCTCTGGTAGCGTGACGTCAGAGCGATATTTTCACGCGAGCGTCTCCAGTATATATACGGTAAATTCGCTTACATTTCAATAATTTTTTAGTCTGAATCTTTGCAGATATTGAGATTGATATTACACTATTACAACACAATTGAAGCGGGCTATATTTCATGCTAAAGTCACGTGACCTGTAACCCCCAATATGAGTAATAAAACAGATAAGCTATATTGTGAAGTTGTAAAAATTTTAATAAGAAGTACAAATTAAAATAACAATGATACAGCGAAATCCCAATCATATAAAGGCCAATATTCAATGTACAAAATAGTTAATTATTAAAACATCAAAAAGTTTAACTACTAATCAATAAAACAAAAAAACAACAGCAACAAATCACGGACGATAGAACTATCAATTTCAAGCCAATCAACTTAGATCCGTTGATCGCGTAACTACTGATCACTAAAACAACAGCTAATCATGATGACAAGTATATGTTTATTAATGGCAAAACTCTAATCAAATACGTAATACTTTTTCCTGAACTGATCAGTGATCAGGAACCATCTCACACCGGAAGTAGATATAGTTTGGTTGTTAACGCCAACAATACTTTCGAACATGCGCAAGTGCCCAGGAGCAAACACACACTGGGAGTAAATTCAAACGGTAACACCAGGAAAAGATGGGCTTCTGATGTCCAATATTTAAGACAAAAATAAAATTTTAAAAATGGCACTCAAATCTCGAGCCAGAATGCTTTCGAGTGCCATTTGTAATGAAGCGACTGGATGTTCGAGGCTAATATATCCCATGGGGAGAATGCTACTCGTGTAGACTGGAATAACCAGGCACCAAAGACTGCCATTCAAATTGAACTCCTCGCATATTTCGCCGAACATAGCGAATTTGAAATTACAGTAAAAACAGAAACAACTGAATGTAAATCAGTTTATATACATTCACATTACAGTATTATATGTTTTGCAACCCATTTGTGTCCATTTCTAGGTGCCAAAGAATTAAAGAATAGCGATTTAGCTGCTTTAATAATGAAATTAAAGTAGCTAAGTCTCTAACTCAATATCATCCAAAATCTTCAACATTGAAAACACAAATTATTTGTCAATTTAAATCAACATTGATGCTGTGATCTTACCAGAAAAAGATGGGCTTCTGATATCCAATATTTAAGACAAAATAAACATTTTACCATTGGTACACAAATCGTGTACCATAATGCGTTTCAGCCCCAGTTCTAGCAAGAGACTCGAGGAACGAGGCTAGACATATTGCACCAAACCAAACGGTGTATGTAGACTGAAATAACCAGGCGCTAGAAATTTGCATTCGATTGAGACTGCTGGCTTATATGAGTTGCGACCCACTTGTGTCAATTTCTAGGTCCCAAATGTTAGCGATTTAGCTCCTTTAACTTAAGTTTGCCAGGTGAAACCAAATCGTAGTTCAACACTTTTAGCTAGGTTGTCGTACATAAGTTTTGATTTACATCAAAAACTATAGGAAATAATATAACTTCATGGCGGGTATAATGTTAAATGTGACCTTTTTAACAGTCATTTAATTTCATTTATAACAATCTTACTAGACAATAAATTTCGTTGTAAATCTCTACTTTCGTTTTGTTTTTTCTCGAAGGTTAATATCATTAACTCCGCATGCTTGTTTAAATTTGATATAATATTGCCACTATGCCATACCTATGACTACTGGTCTAGCCCATGAATGACAAGAAAGTCTGTATATCGGCACAAGAGAAGACCGCTGTCGATAATGTTGACTAAAAGCTGATAAATATCTCTTGTTGATGTGAAAACACGACCTAATGGAGGCTGCCATCTTGCTTAAAGGTCAAATAATTCATCCAATCAAATTGATCATATGCACAACATGGACTAGTCTATTTCCAGGGTAGGGACTGAACTCCATTGATGACAATAAAGAGGGTAAAATCAGCTGAGATCAGTTGTTAATCTTTTGTCTAGAAGGTATATATCTAGTGTCTGTTAAGAACCCAGGGCCCCATAACACAATTTTCAAATAATAAAAAAATACAAAAAAAAAACAACAACACTGCCTTGTCGATCTTTAAATTCTTTCAATATATCCGCTAAGATTTATAATCAAACATTATTGCACCCCCGCCCCACCCCAAAAGAATTCCCCAATACTTCAACATGTACATAGTACTTGAATTGTTATCCGATATGATATAGACCATATTCATTTTTTCCATATCTGTAGGCTAAGTACACAAGACACTAAACGGATAGGACAACATTGCAGCCAACTTGACTGCCTGGCTGTTTGCATGATATTGGAAATGTTGTCTGACCCTCCAGTTAACACAGGCACTTGTAACAAGGGGCGCCGGAACGGCGGTGCTATGGGTGAAAATGCCCCCCACCCCCCGGCCCCCATAGCTGTCCTTACTTTTTTGCTGACTGTCCTTTAAAATGTTTTTCGTACACCAGCATAGTGAGGTTGTCTGGCCATCCTTCTCGGTTCAACTCTTCACCGATTTTAACACTTGATATGTTCGAGCATTGCTTGCTTAGGTTAGGGGGAGGTCCCATCTCGTGCTCGTCTCCTCCCTCGGATGTTCCAGCGCCCCTGGTCTGCTTGTAACAAGTAAAATCTCTTTTAAATTTAAAGGGACCATCCCGATTTTAACAGAGTCTCAGAAATAAAAGTCCGTGTACGCATGAAATTTAAGGGCCAAAATATAAAGGAATGGTGTAAATTATATACCTTGTCTTAAAATTTCAGCTCAAAATATTGAGCCGTATGGATGTGAACGTCAAAACCGCTTTAAGATTTTGGGTCAATTTTTTCGTTGGGTTACCTGTTATTCTATTGCCGTTCCTTTATAGGTCTATACAGTGCATGACTGACGTGCTGTACTTGATAACGAAAGGTAAATTTCACCTACACGTTATTTTTATCCAGACACTATAACATTAATCTGATGCGAAATGTAACGCCAAAGTCTATTACGTTCATCATCATAATTGAGATAATTAAAATCTGGGACAAATAAATAACTCGTCAAAAAAAACGCTTCTGAGTCCGCCAAGAATTTATTAAAGGTAGGAAATAGCTGAACGGCCCCATGTAGGTAGTCTGGCAACCCGTATCATAGACTATATATTTACTGAATTTAATTGCTACTTTTGTAAATTAACACGGAATGTGAAAGATTTCGGTTGTAATATTACCGTTCATAAAAAAGGAACAACAAAAACTAACGCCAAGACTTTTTCGTGAAGATGAAAAATGGAAGCTATTAATAAGCTTCATTTTTTAAGCCAGTCATTTTTTTTATAGTTATGTTTTAAAAAAGGAGCCATGATCGTGCTATGCGTGTCTAAAAATCGTTTTATTTCACAATGGGAATGGTAAAAATGGTGAATGTGTCCAAGCCTGTATGGCGACATCCCCATCATTAGTTCGATTGAACAGGAAATGTGTTCTCTTAGACTCTTATTTCATTTTCCGTTGTCAGAGTCGTGATTTGACTTCTTTAATTATTGGGATGATAAATTGGTCTTATGACACATGGGATTCCAGTTTGAATCCAATACAAGACCAAGTAAAGTGAATAGAAGCAGTATATTGAACAGACAATCAGACTGGGTTCCCTCGGTATTTCCTTACCGACAAACCACTGGCTTCACACTATGTGATCAATACTTTAATCTTGTGGACTCAACAGTCACACTTGTCTCTTAAACAGCTTGTTAAAGAGACGATTCCATGCCGTTCATTTAATCAGTGTGGTATTCATGTTCTAATTTTGCAATTGAAACTGCGCATTCGTATAAGAAAGAGGTATTGGCCACATAAGGGTCATATCGTTTAGATTTTTTGAAGTGAAAAAAGAAATCCGAAGTCAAACCGTATCCTTAACCAAAGGTAAACTTCAAATTTAAGGGTCATGTGGATTTGGAAACATTGAGATATTTCACTTAAGAGTTACAGTACATCGAAAATAATAATAATATGACGATCTCCTCACTAGTTATTGACAACAAATTAATTAACTGACAGCGTTTGAATATAACAATACCATACCTTAATTATTGGACACACATTTACGTGCATCCTACAGTCCAACCTTAAACATAAAACAAGAAAGAGTTGGTAATGTTCTTTTGATTATCCAGACACAGCCTACTGATCACTCGATTATCCAGACACAGGATCTTACCGAATTGGTCTCGGGTCGAGGTGCTTTTAGTTGGACATTGGTGGCAGCTCACAACAGCTTTTGCTTCCACGGCACTGTTAATATCTGGTAATATCCCTTTAATCCGTAAAATGTATTACCGCTTCATTAAAAAAAAAATATTAATTTGTTTTTTGTTTTTATTTCAGATTCATGAGAAAATAAATATGATTTTCCTGTGCTACATTTTCATCCCTCAAAACTATACTCCACTTATGGTGGTCGACCGCCCCCCCCCCCCCCGCATGGTTACCACAATGAATGATTGGATGGAATTGGAGTTCAAGGCCCTACATTTCTTCTCCAACCGGGATATATTAAGGGCATACGTCACACAGTGTGCTATGAAGGAAATATTGCCTGAACAGCAATTTTATTCAGACTGTAAAGAATGTTTTTAGGTACGCACAAGGTATTCACACCCCACCCCCTGCTTACCACAAGGCGTGTATACTTTGTTGCCGTGGTGTGTTTTTTTATATAAACTTATCAGGATTAGTCAGTACTGGAACAAAGGTAGTAATTATCGATTTTGAGACAAATTGCTGTAATTTAGCTGAAGACGGTTACCACTGTGAAGTTTAATCAGTGAGCAGAAGTTGACTTCACAACGAGACTCCATGAGCGTTTTGCAAAGGGAGTTCTGGATTGGTATACATGTACATGTAATTGCAAAAGCTTATTGCTGGTGGTGGGCGTATGTTACATTGCCTGGCAAACTATCTTTTATGTTGTTAACATTTACACAATATACAGTCTAACAACGCCAAAAAAGAGCTGTTGGATTTCTTATCAATTTGGGGGTGGGTGGAGAGGGGGGGGGGGGGGTGATGGCCGAATGGTTGTCATTCAGTCAACTGGCGTGGTTTCGATTCTTCGATTCCCGGGTTGTACGTGACAAGTAGTAGGGTCGCCTGTCCACCCTCGTGGGCTTTCTCTGGGTCCTCCTACTGCTAAAGACCCCTACGCGCAAGCAAATCAGTGAAATAAAATCGAACTATATATTAGTCCCGAAATAACCTAGTTTGTGTCAAGTGGACGTTAAACTCTCTCTCTCTCTCTCCCTCTCTCTCTCTCTCTCTCTCTCATCAATTTCTTCTGTTTTAAAAAAACGTGAATCATAATATCTCCAATGCATAGTTTCGTCGTCCCAGTATAAACAAATTTGTGATCCCTGAAGATAGCTGTTTTCTTCGGATCTATTACTCTACAACTCTATGGTACATATACATAATATAGTTACCCAAAGGCATTAAGTATAAAATACACGTAGGCTGCATGTACACAGTTGACATGTTGCGCAATTCTACAAGATTGCTATTGATATGTTACAAAATAACATCATAGTTTCATTTACAGGCAAAAACTAAACACCAACTATGGTAGTGATATCGCGCACATTTCTTTTTCTCGCAATTGACAGCAATATTCATTTGTGTGGGTTATTTTTTGACAATTTGACACTGAGAAGTCTAAGAGGTGCATAACGCTACATATTTTTTTAGGTTGTTTTCGAGGAACTATGTTAAATCACAAAATAATGTTCTTTAAGGTAAGCTGGAAAACAAATGAACCAGAAACATCGTTATTATTTTATATATGCATTTTTATTATTCTCTTCCAACCTGTAAGACACTATTTTTATACGCCCACATCGTCTGCCCGAACGTCCGTCTAGACATTTGTCCACAATTTGTTTGTGGACACTCTACAGGTCACAATTTTTATCCGATTTTTACATAACTTGAAAATGGCATGTAACTTAACTTAATGGATTGTGGCCCCTTCAGGGCCGTAACTAGCTCAGAGCAACGAGGGGACGGGAAGTTTTCTCAGGGGCGCTGTAAAATCGACAGGCAATGTATATCTATTATTTTTTAGGGTCGAAATATTTTTTCACAGATGGGGGGAGGCGAAACTTTTTGAAAGGGGGGCTTCGCCCCCTCCCCCCTGCGCCCCCCCCCCCCCCCCCCTAGTTACGGGCCTGGACCCTTGATTGTACGAAAAATCATGTTTTTATGTTGTGGACACCCTAGAGGTCACAATTTTCATCCTATTTTACTGAAACTTGAAATGCATGTTTATAACACAAAGATCTTGATTACTTTCGATATTCGCGTATATTGGATCGTAACTTTCTGAATTATGGCACCTGATTGTGTTTTTAGTTGGTGGCCCCTCTAGAGGTCACAAATTTAATCCGATTTAAAAAAAAAAGTTCACCGTTACCACCATAATGTTGGTTAAGTTCGAATTTCATGAAAATCGGACCAAAACTGCCGGACAAAATGGCCACCCATCTAGAAGTAACAATTTGAATCCGATTTTGATAAAACTTGAAAGGTATGTTTTTAACCCAAAGATATTCTCGCATATCAGACTATAACTTACTGGGTTATGGCCCCCTGATGGACGAAGAATCGCCTTTTTTAAACTTGTTCTCTATCCATCTCTTGCAAAATGTGTGCGTATCTTGCCTTACAACCGCCAGTTTTATTTCTTTATAGGAGAGTAATATTTTCCACCTACTTATCATTGTCAGGTGTTCTTTTACGTGCACATTAATATGAACACAAGCTCGGTTGTTTGTTCCATACGAATGACTAGGCACATTGT